GATCAGATAATGGATGAATGATGGATGGATGGATGGATGGCTTAAACTCAAACCCCTGAAATGTGACGGTGTGAGGCATTCTGGGTAGTGTGTACCTTACCTTTTATTACACTTTTTGTTGCAATGCTACACTGATTACTTGACAGAAAGGTTCAATTTAAAAGAAAGTACTACTTAAATAACGGAGTTGTGTGACCCCACAGCACCACAAACTATACCCCCCCAATTATTTCATTATTGTAATTATTACATAATATTATTAACATCTTTATGAAAATCTTCAATACACTCTGAACTTATAACTTTCATGAAGGGAGTTTTTATTGTAGGATATTCTTTCCTTTTTTTATAGAACTGGTGCAGTTCTGGAAATATGATACTAATGCATATAGGCCTGGTAGCCTAAAAATAGTTATGATACCCATGAGTGCCTGTATCACATGCAACACAGCTTTACAATTAACGCTAACGTTATAACACTACTTTTAAAAAGAGTGCGGGTGCTAGCAGGTTGGATAGCACTCGCAGCAATCTGCAGCAGAACTGAGCTGTGAGCTGTGATTCTGCACTAAAACCTGATGAGGTAGACGATACAATTGATTTTCTGTCGCTCTCAGCTCATTGTTTTTATGTTCGAATGATTGAGAGCTGGAATCAGAACACAAACTATGGGTGTTCATTTTTTTTTTTTTTTTTAAAGATTAAAACAAAAAGCGAAAAAATACAACTATATTCAGTTACATGACTGACCCGCCCCTAAAGCCTTGAGGATCCACCAGTGGAAGTGTTAATACAGGTTACAGGGCTTCTGCACATCTGCTGCTGGTAATCACAGCCAAAAAGTATTATCTATGGGTCCAGGAGCACATGTATGTACCTGTAAACATCTGCACTGATTCGATCTGGAAAAGACCCAACACCAGCAGCAGCACTGAACTCCAGACAGCCTCACACACACACAATACACACTCTCAAACACCTGATATCAAACACAGGATATTAAAGTCATGTGCAGACGGAGATTTAGCGAGTGGTTAGCTGGCTCTCTGATTGATATCTGATTGGATGGCTGGCTGGAAAAATGTAGTTAGTCCCTCCAGAGTGAAAGTACAGCTGCCATCCAAGAGCCTCCTGTTTGTTGTTCTACCTAACACTCCCTGTAATTAGGCAGATCCAGAGCTGCCAGTAGAATGACACACACACAGGATTCAACACACACGCTTGTCAGATTTTGCTCATCTGGTTGATCAGGACTACAGGCAGATATTTTTTTTCATGAACAGAGGAACACGAAACTAGACAGAAAGTAGACGTGGGCCTGATGTTCAGACAAGACACATGTTCTTACACAAGCATTTGTAGCTTGTTTAGCAACAGGAATGCGATTAAAAGCTTCAAAAACATGACTTCTGCTGAACTGCGAATTCCACTTAAAGGATGTGTCATTACTAAATACCCCTTTTTTTACGGAATTTGCCACCTGGCACTGATATTCACAATGCTCTGCTGCACACATCTGACTTCAAAGCGCACGAAACAAAAGCACGAAGGAGCCCATGTCCCCGAATGTTTCGCAGTGCTAATAGATTCCCTGTGCATTTAGCAGAAATAAAGCAGGCGAAAAGGGACAAAGGACATCTAATCCTGTTCCATAAGCACTATTCATAAATGTGCTAGAAACACTTCACGGAGGGAGTGAGGACTCCGAAATCGCTTTCTCTCACCTCTCCACCTCCAAAGTGATTAAATTCATTAAAATCTCTTCAAGTAATTGCAGCTTATCTATGGCAGAGTAAATATTCAATTAATACTGCCTTTTTAATAACTATGATGCCTTCAATCCATCGTGCATAGCCTTGCATGTCTCCCCGCCATTAATTAAAATTTCTCTTTGGAGGTCAATTAAATTTCCTTTAACTATTCATTAGCCAGAATACAGGGCAGTGCACAAAATCTATTAAAAGAGGACTTCATTCTCCCTTTTTTCGTGTGTGTGTGTGTGTTGTGAGAGGGGGGTGTTGTAAAGGGGAGGGTTAATCTTCCTCTTTGGTTTCCTCCTAGGCAGAGAGTGACCTTAAGCTCTCTCTGTGTCGAGGTGGCGAGTTGAGCTACGGCGAGTCGAAGCGGAAGCTCTTTACCGATCTCTGTAGCGTTTGGCCAAGGCTGACTGGCTGCCAAACAGCCGGAGACAGAGCGGGGATGAATCAGCACTGACAAGGTGAAGCCAGCTTCGTGTTCACCGGCTGACAGCTCAGGTGCTCAGAGAGATGGAGACACAACAGATTACATTTAGGCCATTGCAGAGGGAGAGAGAGGGAGAGAAGATAAAGCAAGAGAGAGAAAGTTTCTTCTGAGACAAATGAGAAATTTGGGCTTGCTTTGCGTGGGTGTTAATGTGAGCTGTCAATGTGTCAGTTCTTAAAGCCTAACAAGATTGTGACACCAAATAGAAGCAATAAATAAATTAAAAGTATTGTATTTGATGTTTCTGCTCTGTTCTCTTTTGTTACCTGTAACATCTACAGCCCTGATGCTCTAGTTAATTAAAAAAATGTTAGGGTCCGATTCATTAATGTTAAACACCCAACAAGCTAATATCAACCTTAAGTTATTAAACATTCGCTTATATTTAATTTTACCAGCCATATGAATCAAATCAGTTCAAAATCTATATGTATGGACCAAAATCAAAATTAATTAATCAATTTCCCTTAAGGGGCAAAAAAAAAAACAATCCATACAGCTTTAAAACACACTAGGGCCTTGAATGAGAGACACCCCCACCCAAAGTGCAACAGGTTGGAGTGGTTGAGTGTTTAGGAGACGATTTAAGATCTAAGGACGACAATTTCCTTTTGACAATCTTAAAACCTGACCTAATCATTTTCTACAAAAGCATTCTAAAACCTACTGTTTGAAAACAACCTGCTAAAACCTGAGGGCTCTCCAGAAAACTTGACAGAATAAAAGGATGTTCACTAAAACATCTCCTTGCTTGAATCTTATCAAAACAATTCAAATTATTTGTTTTTATGAACTGAAATCTGAAAATGTTGTGTAAAAAAATGTACTTGTTTTCACCCGTATGTACACTGAACACAACGACATCCATCATTCACACCTACAGTCACCAATTAATCTAATCTGCTTTGTCTTTAGAGTGAGAGAGGAGAGCAGAAGCAGATGAACCCACACAGGAACAAGCAAACTCCATCCCTTGACTTTATATATTAACAGGACCTAACACCCTCCTTTGCTCCCATCAAAATTCCCACAGCTGCTAGAGGCCAACTCAATATAAAACATAACTATAGGTTGTAATCAGCTGCTTGTGGAGAAAACCTGTGGGGTCATTGTTAGAAAGGAGGAAGATCACCTACACCATGTCTTTCACATTTTCTTTCTAAAGGTAAAAACTTTATAGCAACCTTACCCTTTCTTGTGCTCAATGATAAGATACTTCATTTAGAAGTCTCAATTCAACTCACAGTACTTGTACCTTTACTATTCTTTATTTACTTTCTTAGTTTTGTGTCTTTTTTTAAGGGATTGCTCTATGCTAGCTGTATAAGAGCTGTCTTTGCTGCATAAAAAAATTCCTCATGCAAACCAAATGCTTCCTTCTGCCGCTGTTTTACAATAAAAGCTCTCCACCGGAGAACCAGCGGGAGGCTTTTATTGTGGCGCAATAAAAGGCAGGAAATGGATTGTACTTGTCGTGGAGATTAGCAGAGCTTTGCCGTGGTGCGCTTGTACAATAAAAAGTTTTCCAAGAAACAAGTTGCAGACATTAAACAGATACAGCCACACTAATCTGTTTGGATGAAGAAGTGACTGTCACCGCCAAGAAACCAGCAAGAGGTAGAGCTTGGTGAAACAACGTCAACATTGGTCATTTCAGGTTTTTGAGGAAACGAAAACATTTGCCGTTTGTTTTTAGGAGAGAACAGTTTCAAGGTGGAACATCTCTTGCTATTCCATTCTTTGAGTCTCTAGCCCGCTCCGTCTACTCGCTTTTGTATTTTCATTATGATTCCTCCCAAGAGCAAATAAAATTGTGCCATTTTGACTGATGTCCTTATTGCGGAAACATTGCAGGGTAGCTGCTCTCAAAGTGAAGTCCTTGAGGCAGCAGCAGGGGAGCCCTTGCAAAAGGAGGAACTGTTAAATCTAATTTTTATTTCAAGCTGAAATTATACCGCTGAGAAAATGTATGAGTGACTATTGAAATCACAGGTTTCCCAACCAATTCTATTATATTCTCAGAGCGCAGACAGATCTAGCATTCATTTTTAAATGACTTACGTCCTCCAGTAAGGGGCCCAAGGACCAAAATCTGATCAGACAGGAGTCCAAGGACAGAGTGTGGGTCTATTTTAGAACCAAGATGAAGACATTAGAACAGCTGCACCGTTCAGTAGGCGGTAACATGCAAGGCGTCCTATATGCTCTATTGTTGCCCAAGGCGAACCCTGTCCTGGCTGCTAGCATGTAAACATAAACTAATCATAACACTAATCTCACCATGCTACTGTACACTTGTGAAAGCAGCCCATCTGTGCGGGCTTCCCAATTAGCTGCCGTCATATGGCACAGGATGGAAAATATTTGAGTCCTTGCTACACCACTGTACAGGAGAAACAGCATGCATGACTAATCTGCTGTTAAGCTGCAGGATTTCATCTGCAAAGCCCTAAAGATAAAGTTATGGGTCTTCCTGCACAGAACACGACCATTGTGCATCCTTGAATAGGTGGATTGTTCTGTATATTATCTCCAGGATGGTGCTCGTTAGACAAATAGCTTACATTCTCTTCCAACAAAAACACCGGTCAGAGGCATCGATCAAATTACAATAGCCAGACACAATAGTGACAAGCACCAAGGTAATAGGAGCAATATCTTAGAATTGCAACCAGCGACATAAAGAGGCTCATAAAAGATCCAAATCTCTCAAGCAGACAGCAGGAGAGTATGTGTTTGCACGTGTGTGTCTTTACCTTGCGGCCGCCTGTGTTCAGCTTGATTGGCGTGAGGAAGGGGTCAAAGATCATGTGGCTGGTCTCGATGTTGACTGGGGACTGCCTCTTCCCCACCGAGCACAGGTTCCAGGCCGAGTTTACCAGTCCCCAGAACGATGGCACTGCAACACAAAAGACAGAACGGGACGTTAAAATGGGGGAACGTGTGCGACGAAGAGAAGGACGGGTTAGGATTGAATCTACTGATTGCACAAAATGATCCAGAAAGATCTGAAACTGTTTCAGTCCATATGGTGAGAGAATGGATTTGATGTGGGGAATTAGAGGAGAGTCCCTTTAGGGAATTCCCGCAATCACCGTAAAACCATGAATCAAGCTACAGTACATCCATTTGATTTAATAAGATAAGATAGTACGATAGTGAGATGTACCTCTAAAGGAAATTCACAAACGACACAGCAGCACAAGAAAGTAGCAACACGGGGAAAATATAGTGAGACTAAAAATGGAAATAAATATTATATAGAAAAGTAGATATAATGCCATGTACACGAGGCTGTTTTGTCAAAAATGTGCAATTTAGAGATGGGGAACAGAGTTGTGTTTATGTGCAATATGGACAATGTTTCATTATAAACAGGACAAACAATTAGCACCATGCCAGAACTCCTGTCAGTTCCTAAGCTTTGGCGTTAACATCATTAGGCTGCCATCATGTTTCCTGTATTGTGTCACATACGAACCCATTTAAATTCAATTTTCAAATAATTCAGCAATACGATACAGGATCATGATTTGCTGGTCTCACACTGCAGCAGGAAATGCCGAGATGAGAATCAAGAAACTTAGCGGGCGAAACTAATCTGCAGTGACTTTTAGCAAAACCTCGCTCTGAATGGAGGAGATATCACGGAGCTGAGAGAAGTGGAATCTGCCTGTAATCAGCTAACACGTGTACTATAAGACTGAGAGGACAGGATGGCACAGTGAGAGGATGTCAGCACTGTGGGAGTGATAGGCATCTCAACCAGTCATTTTCTTATGTAAGACTTGGCCACCGGGACCATGGATTCAATTCCTTCTCAGGATAGGAAGCAAAGGCTTATCACTGTCAACTCTAGCATGAGGCATCTTTTTGCCACAATATCTGCTGGAGCCTCGAGCAGAATTCTCCATTTAGGAACACAGCATTACGCAGAGATGACTCACTGGAACTGTGCTATTCAAATTCCACCGAGATTTCCAACAAAAGCAGAGATAATTTGAAAATATGCAAATTCCTTGTGAATCAGAGGGAAGCAGACACAGCGCAGCGTGAATTCAAAGCTCAAGACTCAGCAAGTCAACAAATCCTACATGACTTGGAGCGACGGAGATTGTTGTGCTCATGGATGTGCTACAGAGAGAGCGCTCGCTGCAACACGGTTCAGATAAATACATGGAGTCAAGCAGAACAGGTGCCAGTGTATTCATTACCCTTTCTGCCATGCCAACATGTGTTGGCTGAGGCTACGTGCAGATTTGAATGTGCCGTTTAGCTGAAGTGGTTCAACAAACACAAGTGACTCAGCAATCTGAGACAGAAATGGTGTTTTTGTCCATGATTTTCCACAAACCATGGGTAAAACCAACAGACTGCAGCCCTACTCAGCTTTTCAGAGCATCTTAGGCTCTTTAGCTCATTCTACTGGTTCTACAGCACACTAGCTCCACCACAGCAGGGCGCGACAGTTTTCAGTGGCACATAATAAACCAAGTAAGGATGACATGCTCGGCACAAAACAGCAGACAGACAAAGTTAGAGACCAGCTGGTAAACACACTGGAGCATTTAGCAGATACACAGCCAGGTATTGCTGCTCACCAGGTGGTGTAGACAGCCAGATAACAAGATAACAAGATAACAGGACAGAAACACAACTCCGAATGAATGCTAATGTTACTTCATACCTGCTGCTCGTGATTGTGCAAAGTCAATTTATCATAGTATAATATATATCAATATATCTACAACCAAGAGTTGAATGAAAAATGTATTCAGTGTTAATCTACCTGCTAATTACAGAAATCTGTGTTGTACTGGATGTATGTGGATCGCACACCTCATGCCGTTTTTCTAATTGGTTTCACACTTGGCATGTGTGTTGCAAAATAAAAGTGTGGCATGATTTGGACACAATATATGTTTGAAGTTTATTAGATGTAAGTTTATACTATAGAAGTCCCTATATAGTAAGATAAGGGTTAGTGGCTTAGCGGGTGATTTCCGACTCAGCCATTATGTTTAAAATGCCAATTCATGGTCACTGTAACCACTTCTGTTTCAAATCACCTTGTAATAACCACCCAGACGTACTCCTTCACTGACCAAAGATGAAAAACAGGTCTAATATAGACACAGCCTGGTGACTGTGACATAAGTTATGACATACTGTAAGACCTTAGTCACACAACACTGAGTCATACTGCAATTAAAAAGCTTTGCTCTGTAATCCTGCTGAAGGTGAGAGTTCTCTATGAGCTGTCAGTACTTCCACTTCATCACAAGTAAAAAAATATGTTGACCTGCACCACACCAGAGTAGAACACGAGCCTTATGAGGGATGCCTCTTAATTTGACCTCAAACACAATGTTGGAAATGATGCTGACTTTCACAGAGTGCTCGCTCACCAGGGGGTTGCAAGTAGCTGCCTTCATTTATGCCAGCCAAGCGTGGCGGCGGCAGCAGCAGGGGCAGCACGACACTAGATGGGTGGTTGCTGGGTTCTCCAACAACCTCTCCTCCAAGTCATTTGCTCGGGAGCTTGACAAACTTTGGCAGACTGGCAGCTATGATGTTCACAAAGTCCTGCCCAGTGAACTGCGATGTTTGACCGAGATGCAGAAGTGGTCTCCAGCGACTCTGCAGTGTAATTTCCAATATCAGTGGCAGTTGCAGCGGAAACTGATTTGTAGTGTGAACAGGCCAAATTTCTACAGACCCTGGGGGAGTTCATGAATGTGCTGTAGTAGTAAGGGGACCACCAGTCACTAGTGTTTCCAAACACCAAATGCCAGATTGTGACGCCTCCTGTAGAGTTAGAAGATTTGCGAAAAACCAAAACAAATCTCTCGGAGGATTCTGCGCTAGTGACAATACATGTCTCTTTCAAATATCATACATAGACATTAAACAACACTATTAATCCACGGTTTGTTTGGCTTTTAATAAAAATGAAAAACATCTCAGAGAGGGCTACGTTTTGTTGAAGTTGAGTGCAAACAGCAGTTTGTGATAATCACCTTTACCTATCTACAAATTATTTTTAATTATTATTAAAGGTTATCCAAGGCCTTCTACGTAAGATTCAGTGATCTCTAGTGTTGAGAGGGCTGAATGCAAACAATTGAATGACCCTCGCTGTCTTCTCCTCGTGGCCTTTAAGAAACATAAAAATGCAAAGCGCCCTCTCTAGAGCCAGTGCTAGGTTTGTCTCTCTCTCTCTCTATATATATATATATGTGTGTCAGGTATTATTCAGGTAGGAAGTAAATATGTTTGTTCATGGAGGGAGGTTCAGGGGGGACATACAGTGGGACAGAGAGACAGAAAGAGAGACCTCTTCTGACGCAAAATCCTTCATGAAAATGACAGGAAATCCATGTGCAGAATGGGAATTGGAGTGTGAGTGAATCGATCCATTAAACCAGGGCCCCTTGTCGTAAATGTACACATAATTATTAGCTGTTGATAGATTCCCGAATGCAACTACAGCGGCATGGGACATCACTCACTGCTGACTGAGGCACAAGCAGCTTTGTCAATAATCTACACACACACCCTCCTATGGCACTGATACTCCTATATTTCACTTAGTCTGCTCACAAGCGTTAGAGGCAATTTCATTTCTTATTGGCAAGCTGTAAAAGTGGACAGAGATATATGGTGTGGCCTTTTGCAGATGTCGGACAGAGTAGATGTATATTGCGGAAGTGAAAAGGGCAACTGATGGCGGGAGGCTTTTGTTTCATGGTTGGTCTTCATCCCACTTCTTTTATCAAAGAGCCTTGGCAATTAGGATTTCACTGGCTGGAATGCAGTGAACACAAAATAATAATTATCATATTTCTTGCTGCTTTCAGCGCATCAGTTCATCAGCTCTCTCAAACAGAGCTCAGTGTACACCTGGTAGTACACTCTGCTGCTTATCTTCAGATCATGGACACTGTACCGCACTTTAAATGATATCAGCTTCTGGAATGTGACCTCTTTCATTTCTTATTTATCGTGTTCTTTTGACTGTTGTGGTCCCTCAGCAGCATGTTGAATGTTCAGGCTCGTCCTTCATGTCACACGCCTACCACTGCTGGATCAGAACACAGCTATTCACAATGTTATTGTAGGCAGTGTTATCATCAGCAGTGCATCCAGTACAACTGTGCTAACACCACTTTTTAGTGTTTCTGTTACTGCTTATGTTCCAGATCAGACTGTTGTATTTAAAAATATGCCTTTACAAGTGAAATTCCATCTAAAAATTCACTGATGTAAAGGTGCAGAAGTGTTAATGATATTCTACATATAGTATTAAAAGTAAAATATTCATGCACTTTGGACCCTACAACTTTTGTGTTATTATAATACTGCGTCAGCAAAAATACCTGGAAACTGTGGTATTTCAATACTGTGTTAACGAACTATACTGCTACAATAGGGTTATTTAGCCTAACTATATCCTGCACTCAGTAAATCATGTTTCAGAGACAACAAACTGACGTACCAGGGAAAGAAAAGGAAACCAACAGATAGAACGATAGATGATAGAAAAATATCTAAACTCCCATTTTCTAAAATATAATGCATGACTTCCAAAGTGTGTGATGGTGAAAACATAATGTCTCTTGAAGCTCTGGTAGACAATTCACCGAACTCAACCTGAAGTAGCAGCATGAAGTGTTTAAACATGACAATGTTTAAGCAAAGACTTAACACGCCTGTCTCCCTGCCTCCCATCAAGAACAAGTTCTGCTTTCTACCACCCTCATTCTAATGCTTGGAAGAAGGTTTAAATTTGCTATTAAGTTGAATTAAATCAAAATGTCTAGATTCGTCATCAGTTACAGATGAACGTCTTTTAGGAAAACAGTAAGAATCCACATCCATGAGGAGGATCCAAACACT